CACAGACGTCTTTATACAGTATATACTGAAATGAGCAAGAATGAAGTTGAAATTGTAATCTTGGTCAATATGACTTAACCTACTTGTTAATGTTTGCCTAATCATATGTAAAAAGACCTTCAATTTTAAAGCAAAGAAGTGTTTTGCTTATAAATTATGTGTAGAAATGAAATTTCAGTAACATGTTATTAGCATTAAGAAATTACAAACCGATCCAGTAAGCTGTTTCTGTCTCCCCAAAACCTCTCTTATAATCCACCCATGTCCTGTCAAAACTTACAGATCCGCTCCTCCGTCTTTGAATTGCCTAAAATTTATAGAAAGGTATAAGTAAATAAATAACAGTGATACAGTAAAAAAAAATACACACTCCTCTTCAAAGAAATGGGTTTTAAGTGTATTTCTTTTTTTTTTTTTTATTTTTTTTTTTTTTTTTGCAATAAACAAGTGTTTTTTTTAACTAGAGAAATGTGTGACACTTCTGAGTAATAGAATCGTTTAGACTTTAGAGTACGAATAAGCATATCAGTTGAGAAATGTCTCATCCGAACAAAATGCTAAGTTAACCTTATGGCACAGCTGCTATGTTTTTGCTTTCTATGATCGTCTTCAGCTATACAATATACACAACATAGAAGGGGAGTTTTTTTAATTTACTAATCAGCACCTTCTTCTATTTGTCACTTTATCGAAAAAAAAAATAAGTCAACAATTACAATTATACAAAAAGATGTTTTGTAGCTAACTGTTACTCTCCGTCATTTGAATTATACACAGTGGCTATTCTTATAATTTACACTCCACGCTTCGCCATACGTCATCATATCACATGATACATAGATTATTATAGACAGTGGCTGTTCTTGTTATTTACCGTCCATCCACCGCCATTCGTTACCATATCACAAAAAACATAGACCACGTGACATCGTTTTCTGTATGGAGATATGCCGTATACTCCTGACTGAGTGTGGCCATTGTTATAATACTCCTGACAATCCTTTGGTAGAGTATCTGAAATTTAGTGATTTTTTAAAAAAATGTAGTTTGAAATATTGATTTGTAAATCACACAAACTTTTTATCATTGGCATTATCATAAATATATGTGACTTACAAGCCAATATCCCATAATTAATTTGAAAACACAGCATATGTTTACACATTTACATGTTAAGCAAAACAAAAATATACTCAATGTTTGAATTTCACTCTGCCTTACAATCTTAAATGTGTATCAACGTCTCTTTAAATTCTGTTTTTACATTTATATTTCTACGCCGAAAAATACAAAAAAATGGCAATCAAAGCAATTTCAAAGTTGGTGAAGAGAAAAAAACACATCAAAATGAATATGCAAAAAAATCAATTATAATTTAATTTCCCATTCTCTTCAGCTATCGTTACTTTATAAAGCAATACATATTACAAAAAATCATGATCATTATATGCTAAACGCAGAAATGTTCTGTTTTTTCCCGCCCAAATGGCACACTGATTATATCGTTTGTTCAAGGGTTACACAGATATGAATTGAACATTACGAGGCAGGTTTGAATTTCACTGCAGGACTAAGATTCCTTACTGCTTCTTGGCATGAGGACCAAAAATAGATGTATATTTTTAATCATTGACCAGCAAATGATGTTTTTTTTTTTAAATAATTCTTTAAAGAAAACTATTTTTTTAACAATCATAATTTGATATGAAATATTTAGAAAATCATTAGCTTATTCTTTGTTTTCCTTTATCACCGTTAATTAATTGTATGTTGCTTCACGTCCTATTCGACATTTTTTCATTCATACATAGAGATGTCAACATTTATAGGTGAAGGGCTTCATGTAATAACCTTTACACGATTTAATGACCATTGAACAAGGTGTGATTTTTATTGTGTCAATGCCTGAATTGACAAGGGACATCGTTTTCTTTAGGTATCATTCAAAGTGCAGTAACATTCGCAACAAAGTCCCAAGCACGTAGCAAAGAACAGTTCCTTCCTTTATTGTTATTTATTAATTGTTTTCATTTGTGAAGAACAAAAAAGAATTGAAATTAAGTCATTTGAAAATTTAAGTATATCTGACCATAAATTCATAAATCAAAAAGCTACCGAAAATAGATCGTAAAGACTGGAAAATGATACGTACAACCTGTGCAGTAATACTTCCATCCGGGTTCTGGTGAGTTCATTTCTTCCATGAGGCAGTATGTGTGCAGACGACATTTTTTGACAATCAAATTAAACCCAAAGCAATGACAGTGGTGTTTACACAGAAAAGCGCAGTCCGAGAGAGATTGACTGTCATCTTCGGATATCAGTTCTGTTTCCGATCTAAGGTCATCGAACTGTGATTCTGTCGTATATAATTGACCAATCGCATTCACTATCATAAATATGGACAAAATGTAGAAAGCCAGAAGAGGGTAGTCTTTATAGATTGGCATTATCTTAATTATAATGCACGAATTACACTAATTGGTCACAAAATCACTAACGATAAATAATACGAACTATTCAAAATAACACGAAGCGTCAAAAAGACAATAATGTAACAGTCCATCGGGATCTGTAAATTTTGTAAAAGAACAATCCTTTATCTACAATGAGTAACTTCATTCTATCATAACGGCTACTGGAGTGCAACTTCTGTTCTATCTTGATATACATTAGCTTGCTGCCAATGAGAGTTACTTGTGGATTACATGAATGAGTACACTATTTGAATAATAAGCATGAACTAAACAAAACGATAGTTTGATCGAAAGTCAACCAGTAAGAAACAACTATATTTCCGGTCAATAATTAGCTGCAGAACGGTAGCGTAATTAGTTTATATATTTGTCTTTGACCATAACGCTACAGAACCCGTAATGCAAAAAGGTGCAATTTACTGCACAAGAATTCTTGCGCACTTTTGGGGAGAATTTCTCCACATTCTAGCATTGGTCAACTAACTACCGTTCACTCTTTAATTCTAGACACATTTTTTACTAATCTATTTATTTTATCTACCCCCTATTCTTCATAGTCGTCTCTGAAAATTATAAACGTGCTTGATTAGAATTGACTTTTAGATTGCTAAAAATACACCTCAAGCGGGTTTATTGCCTTGAGAGACGACTATAAAAGGTAAGGAGGGGGATGAAATAAACAGATTGTCTAATACGTACTCTGTCAACCATATACATTAATACGTTATCAATTTTAAACATAGTGATATTTAAATTCTTTTGTACATAAATTTTGCGCTCAAGTTCAACCTCAGGATATGCTATGGTTTGTTTGCATTCCCTCACTGCAATGTTATTTTAGGTCAAGGTTAGGAATTCAAATGCTTTTAATTAAAAACTTCTTAGATACCGGTATGTTCAAATTTATAAAGTTAGTATGACATCTCTAATTACCCTTTTAAATGTGAGATTGGAAAACTTGCTTGATTTAAAATTAAAAAATCTCTATTAACAAATGATAAACAAAAGTGTAATTACTTTAGTCAATTTCGACGTCATAAATTTATAATACATTATGGAAAGTGATGATTTAAATTACTTGTTTCTGTCACACGGAAAATCAAAATTTTAAACCTCCTATATTACTGTTTCGAATATAACTTAAAAGGGTTACTGAGAATTGTACGGCTATATAGACAATAGACAATATTTTATTTCCAATTAAGGGCCCCCAGAGAGGCATGAAAGGTACATGTTTAGACAAAGGCATTCAATAAGTAGATAAACAAAAAAAAATGTATAGTAATTTGTGTTTAAAATAAAAATACATACATATCATATTGTTGTTGTACTTTAAAATGTTATATCAAATGATTAGATAGGTACTCTCCAAGTTGAAGTAAGACATTTATATTTTCACATGTAATGATCCAAAAATATTTTTGAGAACTATCTAAGCTATTAAAATTTTTATTATATTTCCGTGCTTCATTTAGAAGTTTGATTCTTCTTTCTTTGTAAAAAGGAGATTTCCATATTATATTAATATCATAAAATCAATGTTATTATATTGGCATAGATTGGAAAATTCTGATAACAGTTCTCTCCTACACAATGCTTTTATTAATTCTAAAACACTTAGTACAAATAGAGACACCTGGTTCTCTTGTATTCTTGAATTTTCGAATTTTTTTGAAATACACAAAAATGCCTCCTCCTTGAGTCAATCTAAATTCAAATTTATCATTAATAATTATATTCGAAAAAAAGTTTATTTGCTCTTGGCTGAAATTGAAAGAAAAAAATTCTGATGGAAAATTGGACTCTTATGTAAAGCTTAAAAGTAATTTCCAATGTGAGGAATATTTAACATTACTAAATAACTTTAACTTTAGAAGAGGCATAACCAGATTAAGAATATCTTCTCACAAACTCAAAATTGAAACTGGCAGATATATTGGACTTGAAAGAGATAAAAGAATATGTGAAAAATGTAATTTGAATGTAGTGGAAAATGACATTACTGCAAAATTTGCACTTTTCTTATGAACACCCAGTATAAATTTACAAAACTTCAAATGTAGCTTGTCAGGTTCTGAAAAATTATATACATTGTCGATTGAGATACCATTTCTGAATTGTGATGAGTGAGGATTAAACACACCGCATATCTCGCTGCCATATAACAGTATTGGCTTAATTGTGTGGTCAAAAATATGAAGACTACATGTAGTTTTAACAGATGGATGAAATGCTAAAATATCTTTACATAACTTAAAATAACATTTTAAACCCTTTTTGTACAATGCATCTTTAGCATGCGAAAAGTATCTGATGCAGTGAAATAAACACCAAGATATTTATAATTGGTAACATTTAAATAAGTAAACTATTATTTAATAAAAATTTATTCTCCAACAGTTTACCAGATTACTCATCGTGCAGGTCTTCCCAGAAATGCTTGAAAAGGGAAGAAAATATTTAAGAATGCCTTCTCGATGTTTGAGTTGAACCTCCACATCGAGATAAATATTAGTAAGAATTGAAAAAAAATCTGTTCTCAAATTAAAATAAAATACATTCAGTAGAAGTAAAATTTTAGAGCTTATATGTTCTACATTACATTCTCTATGCATAAACACATGTACAAAGACTTTTGTATGTCTCCTATACAGTATGTATAAATAAATTTGCATGTACATGTTTATTTTTCTGGAAAGAGATATAATCTAGGCCCCTGATTCCACCTCTGAAATGTTTTAGGATCTGTCTTCAAACACTTCTCTTATATTCATATCATTTTTAGTTTTGTATGAAATTAATCACTCTTTGTCATGTTTTCATTTTCATTGATTAAAATATCGCTTAAAATTAGGTTTAAAATTACGATAATCAAACTATTTTTCCTGACAATATGCAAATAATTTAACCCAACCCTCTTTCATGGTCTTTTCTGTGATGATATTTTTGAAAGGAAATTGATATGCTAACAAAGAGGATTCACATTTGTAAATTTTTGAAGTTAGATACTAAAATGGAAAACTTTGTCTTGAACTAGATCAGTTTCATTATCAAGCCACCTTTAATTTATCGATAACAAAAGAAATCAATATTTTTCTTGCACATTGATTATTTAGTCGTTTTCAAGGCCTGAACAACATTTGTTACCTATAGTACATGTACATATTCTATTTCTACTTAGAATTCTGAAGGGGTTTCTCATACTTATTTCAAATGCATCTTAATAGTAGTGTGTCTGTTTTTTCTTTGATTTTCAGACAAAGAAACGTAAGAATCCAATGATAACATCTGTAAAAGTACCCTACACATTCCCTCAACTAAACCAACTGACTGGGTTATATGGAGGGATGCCCCGTATGATATATTCATTGTCATTATTTGTTCTTGATCAAGGATCTAGAATAACGACCGTTCCATACTGTCTAAAAGAACACCTATACCTGATTAATGAAAGTGGGGTGACATCAGAAATTAGGACCAGTTTTTGCTTTGTTTAAACATGATACTCTCTACACTAAAGTTTGATATCTGAAGACAAGGTCAATATACACTACACTTAATAGATATAATGATACTTACGTTCCCTACGTTACCAGGAGTTTTATTCTTGGGAAGTTTATAAAATATCTGAGATCTAATGTATCCAGGAGCAATAACCAACAAAGACTACATAATATGTAATGAGTTTCACATCAAAGACATCTAGACAATAACATCAATACAATATTATTTTATGTTAGATTCCACGTAAAGCAATATCTTATTATTTATTTATAATTATAATTATAATCTTAGTATTCATAAAACACTTTTTTCACTTTAACAAATACAATGATACTGTTTAAAGTTTTACGCACTAAACAGAACACTCAACTCTTCGTCGTTACAGGAAAAAAAATGTTTTGATCTTGGATACTTTTCGGTATCTCCATACTTTAAAAGTGAGGAGAAGACGACTGCTGATATTCTTCTTTTATCAGTTTGTTTTTCATTTATTTAACTCGATTTTAAAAATTGTATATGCGTAGCACATGCTCTTGTTTATCGAATAAACTTAGAGATATGAATCTCAGCTGGAAATACAACTGAATTCTGGTCCGTGTCTAATACCAGCAACATCTAATTACCGCGATGTTAATATAAATGTAGAGTCAAACTATAAAAGCCGATATATTCTGGCCAGGATTTTAATAACTTATATGTTGGTACATATATACACAAAAAGAATATCTTGAACCATTCATATTGATAAAAACGTCAATATGAACATACTGTGTGGACAAGCCAATATGTTTCCATAAATACAAGTAAATTCGCGGTGTAACAGGAATGGGCTATAGGATTACTCTAAAATTCCGTCTGTCCTTTGTATATAGGTCTGATTCACGCTTTTTTCTGCACTTTTTCTAAATTTTTGCATATAGTATAAACATTATTATGTTTGGCTGTATATTCTTTTTAGCGACTTTGGCGGAACGCAGCAACCGCTAAACAAGTACAACGCTAAATGTCTTGGACAGTCAATTTCCGCCAAATATCGTGCAAGCTAAATATAATACATTTACAGTATTGAGCTGAATTTATTTTAATGAGATACAGATCAACTTTGAATTTAATTCATTTCGCGTCATTGTTTAATGATAGAGTTGTATCCTTTTTTATTTCTATAATATAGTTTATGAACTATTTCTTAATTGGAAACTTGTTGGGTAGTTTTATACTGACAAACTAATATAGAACATTTTATCATCAAAATGATAAACACATTTTGCGGACCCGGATTAACGACAGAATTGGTTCCATGTATTGACAGTATATCGAAGAAAAAAAGGAGTAAACAAGTAATTATCGAAATGTCCACATTATTCGGGGGAGGGGGCTTTTTCTAATACAGGAAATTATAAAATTTTAACATTTAGAAAAAAGAGGAACCAAGTAGGAGGCAATACTCTCAGAATGCTTGTTCTTGTTTTTACTTGGGAATGACGT